TCTCAAATCCGTGTAAATACAATGTGAAACAGAAATGTAAGTGTCGTTTCAGAAGTATGAGAAAAGTGGTTCAGCTGTCCGGACTTGGCAGTCCCAAGACTGGAGTTGTGATGTGTTGAAATTTGGACTCCTTGCTGATGACTGGGTTTGAATCATAGTCCAGGCATTAAGCTTGGCTGAGTCACTTGAATTTGCAGCCTTCATTGTGTTGTGGTGGGAGGGAGTTCCTCTGTAAAGTGAGGAGGGTGTTTGGATGATCTCCATGGGCTCCTCTGGCTCTCACTCTGTATGATGCTGTGACTTTAGGAGGTGGCATTTGATCTGGGCTTTGGAGGGTGGGGTGATTTTGACAAGCTGCCTTGTAAATGGTGGGGGGGAAAGGTATTCCAGGTGGTGAAAAGAGTCTGAGCAAAAACACAGTGGCTAGTAACTGTAGAAAGAATTCTAGGAATGGTGTGTACTAGTCTTTTCTGACAAAGCTGGAGTTTAACCCTGCAGAAAACAAGAGAGCCAAGTGAAATCTGGCACTGAGCTAAGAAAGGACTTTACAGTTATGCTTAGGAACTGGGAATTCCTTCCTGCAACTGCAGAATTCTAGAGATCCTTGGTAATGACTTGTCCTATGCCTGAACATGGCATGTGTGAACCCGAATTTGATGAGAAACCAGAGTTCTTTTCTTCAAATTAATGAGCTATTGTTATTATTATTATTATTAGTAGTAGTAGTAGCAGTAGTAGTAGTAGTAGTATGCATGCATTTATAAATGATGTGTATGTTCGTGCAACAGTGCACATATGGATGTCAGAGGACAACTTTGTCAGTTCGCTCCATCCATTTTTATGTGCATCCCAGGGATCAGATTCAGGTCATCAGGCTTGTTTAGCTAGTGCTTTGCTCACTCACACATCTTGCCGGCCTGAGAAGCCAGTATTCTTAAAAACAGTCAATCTTCTTTTAAGTGTATGAATATATACACATGCCTATAAAAATAATAGAGCACATGAAACATGGAAGACAAGATAGAAATCACCTTTAAACTCACCAATCAGGAATAACCACTGTTAAAAATATTTCTGTATATGTTTTTATGCAAATGTACAGAAGAAAGCATAGTCTTATTTATTGTACTATATATTTTTATTTTGCTTTTTTTTCTAATATAACAGTATATGCTAGTGTTTCTCAGACCAGGCCATTAAAAGTTCTCTGAGGATTTAACTCCTAATGACTATATACAATGGCTCCAAAGATGTATATATTTTATTATGCTTAAATATCTCACAATGGTTTACATTTTAAATTGTTTACATTTTTCTGTACTATAAAAATAATTTGATAAACAGCTTCTTTGTAAATTCATATCTACATCTGACTGTTTTCTTGGAAATAGGGCTAACCATGACAGTAAACTGATAGGCTAGTCTAGCTATGCTGGGGCATGAAAGAAGATCTCAGTTTGCATGTTTAAAAGTCTTTACAGCATCCTTAGGAAGAATGAGCTGGAAAGAAGAAATCATGAATTGAGAAGACTAAGGTGGCTCTTGGAGCACTGTAAGTAAAGTATGAGGGCATAAACTAAGTTATGACACCAAGTTCAGAGAAAAGAGGTTGTATTGATTCTTTAGATGTTTTTTTACACAACGACTTTGTGAGAACTTGAATCCTATTATAAGCATTTTACATACTCAGGGCCCAAGGGACCTGTAAAAGGGACCTGGCAGTAGTGGTAGGGAGGAGACTTTGATGAGGGTAAGGATTAGTGGTACTGTGCTCCGGTGCAAGAAATAACCAAGGATGAGGAACAAGCTGGAAAGGTTGGTCTGGGAGAGAGCTTTCAGCTGAGTATTAGGTATGTGTTAAGGACACAAGATAAAGCTATCAGGAAGATAGTTTATAAATTGATCTGATCTTCTAGGAGAGAGGGCACAGTAGATGTTTGCATGTGGAAGCTTTTCATGTAAAGATGATAGTGTTGAGATACCAAACACCAAAGTTGTTTTAGAGATCAGGTGTGTATGTGTCTCCTTGGGTTCTTATTAGATTCGTTTTTAAGCTTCAGAAACTAGTATTTGGAATTGCATTTTATTTTATTTTTTATTTTATTATTTTTATTTTATGTGTATGAGTGTATTCTTCATATGTATAAGTGCACCTATGTTGTGCAGTGCTCATGGAGATCAGAAGAAGGTGTTGGATCCTCCAGAACTGGAGTTATAGATGGTTGTTAGCCTCCATGTGGATGCTGGGAACCAAACCTGGGCCCTCTCCAAGAGCAGCCAGTGCTCTTCACCACTGAGCCACCTGGCTAGCTCCTGGAATTGATTTTAAAATTACATAATACGACTTGTGTCCTTGAAATCTGATTATTACCTGAAGAATTGGTCAAAAGTAATAAATGTTTAAATGTTACAGTTCAGAGAATGTCTTTATTGTTTTGCCAACTGCTGCATGACAGAGAACTAACAAACTTTAATTAGAAAAAGTAAAAAAAAAAAAAATCAAAGGATGATGTCAGAGAGTATTAAAGTGAACGGAACAAGAAATACTTTTATTGGTTACAGAACATCCACAATGTGTGGGGTTGTCTTATCTGCTTCCTTTAATAGTAATGAAAATATTGCAGCCTCTTGCTGGGGGTTCAGATTGTGAGTCTTCTTGAACACAGAATAATCTTGATAGGTGCTTGGTAGGTGATATGATGTTCTTTGTGTTTTCACAAAAAAATATGATAAATGATTCCTGACTTTAAAACACAAAAAAATGTAAATGTTCCTAATAAAAGAAGTAGACACTCAATGCCATATATCCATTGGTTTCTTGTTTAGTGGTTAATTAGCCTATTTTCTGGTATTTTTTCTCTCAGCATAATTGCTATAAAGATATTAACATCAGAAAGATTTATTGCTATTTTAGAAGTCATTATGTTATTTTAGAAAATAGTTGTCTATGTGGGAGATTAAATACTGCAGCACAGAGGCTGGAGACATGGCTCAGCAGGTAAGAGCACTGACTGCTCACAAATATATGAATTTACTTTATGAAGAACCTGGCTCTCTTGCTCTAGTAAGATGTACTTGGAAATTCTTGGTCCTTTCTTCTTTCCCTCTTCTTGCTTTCCTCTGACATTGAATACTACTTTTTTAATCCCTGTGAACCTGTCATCTGCCTCTAGTCTGAAAGCTCTATGTGCTTTTTAATCATTTGTCCCCTGCTACAGTCACATCTCCTGCTTCTTCCTTCATGGAACTTCAGTCTGCAGGCTCAACCTGGCTATGTGACATCTTGTTGCTGTGCTCAGCTGCTGTCTACTTTAGAGCAGTCAGTGTTCTTAACCACTGAGCAATCTGGCCAGTCCCTGGAATTGCATTTTAAAAGTATATAATACAAACTTGTGTCCTTGAAGTCTGATGATTACCTGAAGAATTCATCAACAGTGATAAATGTTTACATGTTACAGTTCAGAGAATGCTGAAAGGTGGCCACCATGGCAGCTGTAGCCTCTATACCTTCATGGTCTCCTGTTTGTTAGACCCTCAAGATAGCCTTAGTCTAAGGACATTATTCTTTTGTTGTTCTGCACTTCCATCCCTGCCTTAAACTTCCTCTTGCCACATCTTCCCAGGGCTCAGAAGACGACCTTGACTCCTGTTTTACTAAGGCCACCAGACAAGAATTTGTGTGAACCTCTTTATTTACTACCTTCACTCCCCATAACACCCCCCAATCCTTATCATCAAATTTCTCTCAACTGTTTTACCTTCTTGCTGCTCTCCTTCGCTCAGTTTTGTCACCAGGCTGCCTGAAAGAATCGCATCCCTTCGCTTCACCTCGTGTGCTTGGGCTTCTACCCAATTTCTCTGGACAAGCTACCATTTTCCTAAAATAACAGAAAAAAGAGAAGCATCTATGCTTTTAAAATGATAATTATTTGAGGGGTTGGGGATTTAGCTCAGTGGTAGAGTGCTTGCCTAGCAAGTACAAGGCCCTGGGTTCAGTCCTCAGCTCCAAAAAGAAAACGGAGACAAAAGATAATTATTTGAAATCTAGTATTTTAAGATTTATTTATAAGGATTATATTATGTATATATATATTGGTATGTGTTCTAGTTTGTTTTCTCTGTTGCTGTGATAAACACCATGATCAAAAGCAACTTGGGAGGAAGGGTTTATCTCTTCTTAAACTTCCATGACAGTTCATTTTTAAGAGAAGTCATGCAGAAACTCAAGGCAGGAACCTGGAGACAGGCACTGAAGCAGAGACCATGGAGGAATGCTCCTTACTGGCTTACTTCCCCTGCCCTGTGTTCAGCTTTCTGGCTTATACAACCCTGTATCATAGGCCCAGGGGTGGCACCGCCCACACTGGGCCAGATCCTCCCACATCAGTTAGCGGTTAAGAAAATGCCTCATAGATATGCCACAGGCCAATCTGATGGAGGAAATTCCTCAATTGACGTCTCTCTTCCCAGGTGTGTCAAGTTGACAAATGATGCCAACTTGCTCAGTGTGTGTGTGTGTGTGTGTGTGTGTGCATGCATGTGTGTACAGGTACATATATGCATATGGGTACATATGCATATGTGTGTGCATGCATGTGAAGGCCAGAGTTCATTGTAGGATGTTGAACCGGGTCTATCCACCATGTTTTTTGAGACATATTCTCTCACTGGGACCTGGGGCTTGCTGATTAGGCTAGGCTAGCTGACCGGTGAATCCCAGAGATCCCTAGCTCCACTACCTCCCCAGTGCTGGGATTATAGGAATGCACTGCTGTACCTGGCTTTTATTTCCACCAAAGAAGGATTCTAGGGAAATTTCCTCATTTCCTCATGGTTATATGTCAAGCACTTTACTAACTGAGCCATCTCCCCAGCCTCAAGAGCTATTTCTTAAAATTTTTGACTGTAGTAATCATTTAACTATACATACATGCTATATTCCTTAAATATATATTAAAAATATGACATAATTAATTATTCCTTGGTTTCTTCTTTCCTAGTTAATGAAGGAGTTCCCTCTCCTAAGCATGTTCAACATCCATGAAAATCTTCTAGAAGCCCTTCTGGAACTCCAAGCTTATGCTGATGTTCAGGCAGTCTTAGCAAAGTATGATGGTAAGTCCTTGGATATTTTTATGTATTTGAGACTGTCTCTCCTCTTGATAAAGACCAGTGATTAGATGAGAAAGACCATTTCAAGTAGCACAGAACATGGATAACTCTGCTTAAAGAATTTCCACCTACAGTGTTATGATAGTGTTCCCTAGAGTCTTAGAATTTCAGGCTTAGCAGGGGCAGAAACATTATGTGGCTTGTGCTCCCCTCCTCTCCTTCCTTGGCACAGATTCTGCTGGTCCTCGTGCCACCAGGCAGCTGTGTGTCTCTTCTTGATTCCCTGCTGGTCAGGATGGCACATGTGGGCTTGGGGCAGCACCAACTGCTAGAGTCTTCCTGTGGTTCCTTGCTGATACACAATAGCTTTTGAAGACCCTTCACCATTCTGGTTCTTTACCCCTGGCCTGTTCTATTCTGCCTGTTACTGACAAGCCAAGGAAATAAACTGATACATTCTAGAGATTTTAAAAAAATACTTTATTTACTATTTTTTTATGTGTATGAGTGTATTGCCTACATGTGTATAAGTACACCTGTGTCATGCCATACCCACAGAGGTCAGAAGAGGGCATTGGATCCCCTGGAACTGGAGTTATAGATGGTTGTTAGCCACCATGTGGGTGCTGGGAATTGAACCTGGGTCCTCTGCAAGAGTAGCCAGTGCTTTTAACCCCTGAGCCATCTCTCCAGCCCCATATTCTAGAGATTTTTAAACAATTCTGTTGATAATGCTAGCATCTGTGAATTTAGGATTTGATTAATAGCAGAAATTATGTACATAATTTCCTGTCATGGCTAGGCTCTTTGTAGAACTTCAAACTGTTCTTCTGCCTTATTGCAATAATTCTCTCTATAAAATAAATCTGCTTGCTTATAAAATGGATATTATGGCATGATTACTTACACTACATAATCATTTTTCTAACTTGTAAAATATTATTTTTTTAGTAAGCATCATTACTTCATTTAAGAATTATTCAGATCACACATTTCCTGGAATTCTTCAAACATATAGAGAAAATGATATCATTTGGGTTTTATTTTATTTTAAATTCTTTCTAAGGAATTTCTGAAGTGGTTGGAATTATTATCTCCTTCCATTGAGGGAATGGAGATATTGTGAACTTGGTGAACCTTTTTTTTTTTTTTTTTTTTGCTTTTCTCAAATTATTATTCAGATTGATGGAAACTAAAAACCCTCAGCCAGTGATGGCATCTCTTTGCCTGTGTAGACATGAGTAACCTGTGTAACAAGATATACGCTACTTAGTATGGAACTGATTTTAAAGTATTTGTGGAACACTTAAAAGTAAACAAAATGAAGACTGTTTGGCCTTTATATCAACTCATTTTTATTCTCTGTTTACTTACTAGAATCTCACTCACTGTTCAACTAAAGCTTGGAGATCTAAGCTATACTTCTTTGTGGGCAAAGTGCTCATACTCTGAGGGTCTTTTAGTACCAAAGGAGCTAGCCTCATGCCATAGGTCCAATTAGCAATACACTTTTCCCAATGCAAAGTTCATATTCTCATCACCAGTGCTGATCTGTACTCAACCTGATAAACCAAGCCTTAAGAAGTAGGGATTTGACTAAAAAGCCTTTGAGACCACAAATCTTATAAAGATCTTTTCGTGAAGATCTCCGTTCATTACAAAAATCATCAGCCTTTTGTTATAAAACTAATTGCCAAATAAAGAAATGAACTCATTTGGATTTATTCATCATCTCACTATATCCCATCACACAGCCTCCATCCACAACAACCAAAAGCTGATTTATTAAATTCTGATAATGTATGTTCGCATTATTTGTTACAACAGCCTGTCCCACCCTCCACTAAAACTTGGCTTGCACTTTGAAAAATTCCTTTATTGCAAGTGGACAAACTCGCTCTATCAAGGCCCATGTTGAGTTTTGTTTATGTTGTGTACCTGGCAACAGAGATGATGTTCTTTTTCATTATTCATGGAAAAAGAGCCTCATTGGTGGCAGGACACATACTGTTGCTAAGCTGCCTCATTAAGATCTTTGAGTTCAGTGGTTGTCAACAGAGTGCAGATGACCTAACCTCCACTGAATTCTGAGGGGAGTTTTGGTGCTGACTTGGCTCAGGCTTGTATCATTTACAGTAGAATATAATGAAGTGGCTGTGGAGTTACTGTTCTTGAGGGTGAGCTGAAGTCTCAAGACTGTTGAAAACGTGTCTTCTGCTCTTCATCCTATCCCATGACATGGTTCTTTCAAGTTCACCCCTGATTCTTTTCTTGGATACCCAAAGGACCTTGACTGAGCTGCTGGCTCTTTATCTGACCCTGTGCAAGGAAGTGGGTACTTTGGAGCTCTTGGAGTAGACAGCCTTTAGGGCACCTTGTCCTTTGCCCTGGTTCAAGTGCCATCATTCTTAACAGAGTTCCTAGAAGCAGCACTTTGAATTGCAGCCTTCTGTCCCTCTGATAGAGCCACACCCAAAACAACAGGATTTTGTTATCTTTGCAAATTGGAATGCTCTGGTTGGGTGGCTGTTTCTGGGATGGTTTCTGGGTATTGCAGTCTTCCTTTATTATGTTTGTTAAATGGCTGATTTTTTAACATAGTGCGTTGGGAAGTGGCATGAAGGGATTAGTGCTGCTCTTCTGATTTTTGTAAAAAGGATTTAGACAATGGCCAAAATGGGGAGGAAAAAAAGGAAAGAACATGCTTTGGGAAGAAAAGGAAGCACCCCCCCCATGCCCTCATCTCATTCTTCTTTAAAAAAAGAAGGGGAAAGTTTGGCTTTGAAAGTTTGAGTTTGAAACTCCTTGACATTGACAAACTCCTTTTGTTACAGTAATACTTTGGAAACTCTGGATCTTTAATTATTTGGTCACACCTCATAATCTGCAGTGTAGCTTTGATTTTGCCCTTGAGGTAATATCTCATGTTTTATTATTCTAGACATTAGTCTGAAATGTTGTTTTGTCATTCTCAGGAGTTTTTGTACTTTTCAGTTTTCAGTTTATTAACCAAGTTTATTAAGCAGCTTATTAATGTCCCTCACACAATGACTAAAGTAACAGCAGCAGCAACAGCTAACATATCCTGGGTTCTTAAAATATGTTGATGGATATGCTTTCATGGATAACAGTGTATTTGATAGGTGCTGCTGTTAGCTTAATTTTAGGATTGTGATGTGGCTGAGAAGTTAAATATTTTGCTAACAGTAGTCTACTAAAATGTCAAAGTCAAACCATGTTGATATAAGACAAAAGAGATCAGTTGCAAATAGTCATTGTTAAATACAGTGTGAACATTATATGACAAGAAAAGCCAAAGATACAAACTAAGAAGATCCATTCCAGGCCTGCCTTCTTGACCATCACTACTCTCTGCTTTTGGCAGTATTTGTAACTTTTAAAAATTCATTACCTTTACTCTTGTTATTATTAGTTATAATTTGTTGAGAATCAGCCATTCATCAAGCACGTTATGCACATTAACTATACCCTACAGTAATCCTTCAAGGAGGTAGTCATTCCACTTCAGCAAATGTAGAAACTGAGGTGTTATGAATTGAAGTAACTTGCAAAATTACACATTCCTAAACAACTTCAGAGCTGATTCAAATCCAGGTTGGCCTAGTTCTGAAGCCCATGTGTTTTCAAGAAATGTGAGCCTTACTACAGTGATGGGCTCTGCCTCTTGTACAGAGGCATGAATTATGTGGGCTGGTGCAATGGTGAAGAATTTCAGTGATGCCAGATTGTTCTTTATGATTCCTTTCTAATCATTCTCTAAGAAATAAGTTTCAAGGATGAGACTTTTGGTAGGTTAATTGGTGGTTGGCCCAGACTAAAGGATATTTGGGGACACAAATTAGACTGTGTAGGTCTCTGTGTATATATAATAGGGTATATTAAATTAGGCCAAGAGCAATCAGCAGAGGTGCAGATAGGGGAGTGGATCTAAATACCATCAAAGTTTTTTTGTGACAATCACAAAAAAATCAATTAAAAAAAGAAATAGGTCTCTCTATATTTGTTTGTCTTTCTGAAGTTATCTTCAAAATATACCTTTCCAACTTCAGTCAACTTGTGTTTTATTTCTTTAGTCACAAAAAGTATTTGATGTATAGTTGTCATTTGACTTGAAGTTTGTCATATTTTTCCAGCCATACATTTATTATAGAGGCAGCAATATTTTCATGATCATGAAATCATCAGAAACTTCTTTTAAAAATTATTGTGAAAGTTGTTATAGGCTTTGGGATCACCTTTCAAGGAAGTTTATAGGCCACCTAGGTTGAAAACTTTAGTCTCAAAAGAGTCAAGTAGTAGTGTAGAAAATAGTTCATGCATTTCTTATTCATTATCATTTGTGCATTTCAATTTTAGAAGACTCTCACAGCACCAATGAATGTGCATGTGCAGGCTACACAATACATTTGGGAGCATTGAGTTCTGCTATCTCTAGTTAATGATCCCTGGGGATTCGGGGGTGGTGGGGAGGTGGGGTCAAGGCCTACTTCTGCCTTTCCAGTGAACTCAAGTTACTTCATCTCCCAACCCTTGCTTCCGTCTTTGGAAATAGAATCAAGGATTAGAAGGTTAACTAACTTGCTCAAGATCACACAGCTGGTAATTTACCACAGCTGTTAAAGTAGTGTAATTCTTGTTTAGTATTTAGAACTGTGGGGCACAGAGTAGGAGTAGAGAAACTACTAGCTGTTCTGAAGAGTCCACATTGCTGCTCATGAGCTTTCCTAGCTTTGATCAATCTTGTTTAAATAGAGAACCACGTACAAACTTTCAGTTGAAATATAAGAACCTGGTCTTGTGCCCCCACAAAGGCAGTGTTATGCCCTCTTATTGAAATTAATTATAGATATAATAGGATATATGTATGGATACTTGATAAAAACAGAAATGCTTACTTTTGCATATAAATAATTCTTAAATTTTTGGAAAACTGGAAACAGAAATGCTAGGGATTTTGACTCCTGATGAAAAGAAAATGTTTG